GAAGCCTCCATTGGTCAAGATACAGATAATTTACCGGTCAAATAAATATGACCAGATTCCGAAAAGTCCAATGTGAAAAGTCAATTCCTTCGATCTCTCTTCTCCGTTTATAACCTTCTCTCTGCAAAATCTAAGGAAGAACTGAACAAATTAAGGGAAAATAATGTGTGGGATTTTCGCATATTTGAATTTTAATGTTAGTAGAGAGAGGCGCTATATTTTAGAAGTTCTATTCAATGGCCTTAGGCGTTTGGAGTACAGAGGCTATGATTCTGCAGGGATTTCTATCGATTCCTGTAATTGCTCGGGTTTGGATGTGAATCCTCAAATTGTCACTCCTCCTCTTGTATTTCGTCAAGAGGGGAACATCGAGTCCCTTGTCAAATCTGTCTACAATGGTAAACTAAGATTACAACAATTTTTCTATTTATTTTTATTTTTTATTCTTTATTTACTTTCATTTCCTTTATGCATTGATCTATTACTTCTTGTTCTTCTTCTTTGTATTCTTCTCTCTTTAATGGATTTGCTTTTTTGGTAACATGATGTTTGGGTGTAGACATTTGTTTGGGATTTCTGGAATTTGGAGAATTAGAAAAACGAGGTGTTTAATTATGGGTTTCTTGATTTTAACTTCGAGTTTTTTGTCAGCAGTCAACGAGAGGTCTCCCTTTTATTTTTTTCTGGGCGTAAAATTGTTGATGTTTTTGCTGCTTATTTATATTTTGCCATATTTGAACCGCACAAGATTAGTTCTTTGTGCCTGTGATGAGAAGCTATTATCTTCCTACTACGGTGCAGTGAAGGCGCAGCACATATTTGAACTGTGCCAAAATGCATTCAGATGGAATTTTAATTATGTGTATCAGTCGTTACTCGTTTATGACATATAAGAAAGAAGAGAGAGTAGACCAGGAAATTATTTATTATCGAAGTGTTTGTAATAGCAATTTGCTTTATTGTCTTGCAGGTATGTATGATTTTCATTTTTTTGGCATTTCATTTCTCGAACACATCAAGTTTCTTTTGTTTTCAAGCGTGCGGAGTTTGCATTCTAGTTCTAGGATAGCTACTGGGTACAAGTACAACTGAAGCTGACCTAGGATCTGATTTAATCATTCTTTTGATCGGTCTCTACTATTGGGATGATGATATCTTAACTAACAGAAAAAGTACTATATACGTGGTACTGTTCTTAGAATCTTTATAGTTATTTTCCATAAATATTACCAAAATAGGAGAAAAAATTGGATATGATTGCATGGAGGAATAAGAGTTTTGCACTTGAGAACAACAGAGCCTCAACTTTAAGTAATCTTGCAATCTTGAGGGGTAACTCAATTGTTTCGACCTTAGGAAACAAACCCAGTGGTCACCAGCTCAAATCCCTCATGGCCAATGAGGTGAGTACTCGGCCGTAAACTTCAGAGTCACGTGAGATTAGTCGAGATGCGTGCAAGCTGACTTGAACATCCACGATTATAAAAAAAAAAAAAAAAACTTTAAGTAATCTTGCACATATACACATCCATATGGTTAAAATTTTGATTATAAGATAGATTTTTCTTTTTCCCCTTTGTAATGTAGATTGTAGATGTGGGAATTTCGGCCGTAAATATGGTTAAAATTTAACTTTATTAACTAATTGCACGTGCCTGGGAGATGCATGCCATTTGTTAAGTTTGGGACACATCATATTCTTCAACATGCTTTAGATGTCTAACATGATAATAAATGCATTTTGGATGGTCCTCATTGTATATTATATGCACCCAATCTGTTAAATTTAACAGAATCTTTGAGATCTGAGCAACACGGTTGTGGTTGCTCTGATATTGATGCATGAATTCATTAATTTGATACGAACAATTGAAGAACGAGAAAGAAGGGGGGTTACGAGAACAGAAGAATTCAGGGCAAAGAGGAATTCAATTTTTTATTCATATAATCAAGGGTGTGAATTACAATGAATAAGCCCTGTATTTATAGTGCAAATAATCTAAAACTAATATAATCTCTAATAAGTTAGAAAATTATTAACTAATCAGATCTAATTAAAATAAACATACTTTTAATTAAGCTCTAGTTTAAAATCATATCTAGAACTCTATCTTTATTCTTATATTTATCTCTTTCTCTATCAGATACTTTCTAATATTCATTTTTCTTGTGAAAGAATTCACTTGATTATGTAAGTGAGCAGCGACAATATCCGGTAGATAAGATCTTAATAATGAATTCCATTTAGTTCTCTAAGTACTTTCAAGGTTCTTTGTTGATATTTTACTTTGACTTTTTCACGATCGACTAAATTATTATGAATTCATATTTCAGAAGTTGATGCTACGGATTTAAATTTAGAAGAATCATTCTCAATTCATGCTGGAATAGCTCACACACGCTGGGCTACCCATGGGGAGCCTGCTCCAAGAAATAGTCATCCTCAAACCTCTGATGCAGGGAACGAGTTCGTGGTTGTTCATAATGGAGTTGTTACTAATTATGAGGTTGGCTGGGCTTTTCTGAACATTTCTCGTTTTCTTTTAAATATAGGGTCTGATAATCTCAACGCATCAAGTTCATTTGATTGATTTGTTGCACGAATATAGTCAATAATACTAAATTTAAAGTATGTGGATTACTATCTTATTTGCTCATAAATTTATTATTATGACCTTTTTTTTTTGTTTCCATAGTCATATTCTCCTGAGTAATGTACTGTTGAGGAAATAGTTTTTCTTATAAACCATATGTTCATGTTAACTTTTTTAAGAGAATATTCGTGGGAATGTTGCTTTCATCTCTTTTACCGTATGTAGCTCTAGCCATGGGAGAATATTACCTTAAATAATATCTTTGCTATGAAGATAAATTAAATGTTGAGAATTTTCCATCTGCATTGATTACTTACTAATTATGGAAATTATAAAAAAATGAAGTTTGACTTCAAATACAGCTTCCATTTTATTATTCTTATTGCATCGATCTAATCTCACGCATTAGTGCAACTCTATAATGATACTTCAGGTGTTAAAAGAGACGCTAGTTCGACATGGTTTCACCTTTGAATCAGAAACAGATACAGAAGTGATACCAAAGCTTGCAAAGTTTGTTTTCGACAAAGCGAATGAAGAAGGTATCTCCTCCTTCTGACAGTAAAGTAATTATAATCTACTGTTTTCTCATCTATCCTTCTCATTTCCCCTGCCTACTCCCTAGCAATTGTCATGGGTGGCCTTCGATTTTCTCAGTGGTGTCATCGTGTTGCTCGGAGAACTCTGTTGTACTTTGGGCCATGTTTTTTGTTTTATGTCATTCTATTTATAATTTTTATATATTCTAAGAAAATTCAGCAAGATGTTGAAATGCTAGGTCTGTATGTCCTATGGTTGTTGTATCTTTATGGTGGACTTGGTGGCCTTGTGATGGACCAAGTAGTCTTCACCATGAATAAGCGAAGTGCATCTTTTTAAAAGTTGGCTGTATTTCCTACAGTTTCTCCTCGTACTTCAGGCTCTCTTGAAGAAGTTAAATTGTATTTTATCAGTAGACTTTTACTTTATTTTATTTTAGCCATGTAAACTATAAGAGAGCATTTTCACTTCATTACTTACTGCCCATATCATGCGAGCATCCAAGTTATGGCTTTATCCCCTAAAATGTATAGTGACATCGCATTTAAGCAATGAAAGCTTATTGGAAAACTTCAGTGCAGAAGTATGATTGCTTCACTATCTTTGTGTATCTATCCTTTACTCCATTGTCAGATTTTTTTGTTGGATTCATGAGATTCTTCCCTCCTTTTTCTTTTTAAGGTTCTACATCTTTTCCCCTTGATACAAAATTTGATATATATTAAACGGGTAACAATTGTTGAACATTTGGTGTATCTTTTCCCTGTGATACAAAATTTGTTATATATTAAACGTGTAACAATACTTGAACCATTTGCTGTATCTTTTCCCTGCGATACAAAATTTGTTATATAATACTGGGTAACAATTATTAACTGTTTGGTGTAGGTGATCAGAGCGTGACATTTAGTCAAGTTGTGCTTGAAGTAATGAGGCATCTGGAAGGAGCCTATGCTCTCATTTTTAAAAGTCGGCACTACCCCAATGAATTGATTGCTTGCAAACGTGGTAGTCCATTACTCCTTGGGGTAAAAGTAAGTTGTATGTCTTTTAAATTGTTGCAAAATTGAATATTAAAATTCATCAAATAATTCTTCTTTTACTGTTATAATTCTTCAGTTATTAATAAAAATTCAAATATGAAAATTTGATTATTTTCTATATTTTGACTTATGGTCCTATATTGGCCATTGCAAAATCTCATACAAATATCAATATCCCAAGGATGGAGAGTGATAATTCCTGTATGGGTATTGAATTCTGATTCATGTCGGGCAGCTGGTCTAGAGTTTAGGGTAGTGCTAATGTTTTATAGGCTGAGCACCAAAAAACTCTAAAACCAAGGATGGAGAGAATGATAATTCCTGTATGGATATTGAATTCTGATTCATGTCGGGCAGCTGGTCTAGAGTTTAGTGTAGTGCTAATGTTTTATAGGCTAAGCACCAAAACACTCTAAATTTCTATCTAAGTTGACTAGTGCACGAGGAGGTGTGGTAGTCCATTAATGATCACTATCTATTATAATAATTGTGTTCTTTATTTCTTTCCTGCGTCGTGGGCTCAGATTCCTTCATTATGTGGATAACATATTTTTAAAGGAGTCGTTTTGCTGCATCAAGGTTATGTTAATAATATATACACCCAATAATGGGAATGGAGGGAGTTCAGTTTTGTTTTACTTTGCCCCTGTTTGACGACCATTATTTCAAAACTCTTTAATTCTCACTCATTTTCAACCATACATTTACACAATAAAATATTTTGCACGTAAACCCAAAATTTTTCTTTACTTTTTAACCACACATTCTCCGAGAAATCACTATTTAAAACTTCATATTCGCAAAATAGTGGATGTCAAACATGGGCTTTATTTCATTTCCTGTATGGAAAGGCCATGAATAATTGTGGGTTTAAGATTGATGCATCAAGGTTATTTTAATTTACTCCCTATAATGGGAAGCAAAGAACTGGAAAGACAGTTCAATTCTACTCTTCTTTTCCTAGAAAACACACACTGACATATCATTATTATGGTATTACATAGTCAGTGAAAACATTGTCAGACTCTTGCATGAATGTGAATGCAACATCTAATTGTTAAACTATTGCATTCTAGCAATCTATATCCAAGATTTTTTAGAAAGTTGGAGAAGGCAGAAATAAGTTGCTGGGTAAGGGAAGAGTAGGCTAGTTTGGAGTCACAGTGGAGGGGCATATGGAGGTGTTGGGATCTTCCTCTGTTAGATGTTCCCAAAATGAGTTTACTATGAAAGTTAGAACTAGTTCAGAGTGAAAAGAAGTTTTGAGCAACAAACTTTACCAGGGAACCTCCTGTGGGATTTCTCTTATTTACATCACAATGAATTACAGAGCTTTTTATATAGCTTTGACTTATTTATGAAGGAGCTAGAAAGATTCATTTTACTTATCATATGTTGATTTAATACGCCAATTTCTTGTAATGAAGATATATTGTCCTCTCCTCTTTATACCTAATTGTTTCTCTCTTATAAGATCCTCTTTTTCTGTCTAGAATTTCTTTGTTATAATGTTCAGAATAATTATGGCCCTATTTGAGCCAAATTATTGTAGAATGAGAATGAAAAATATAGTCGTTATTGGGGCCCACATAAGAGATAGAAAATTTGAATTTAAATGTTGATGTGGTGGATAACGGTCATATTTTTCATTTTAATGAATTAAAAATGTAGATCAAACGGGGGCTATATTAATTGCATTGTCCATGTACTTGTGGCACTTCTTTTATCCCCTTAGGAAGGGTAGTGGAAGGAAAAGCACATGTCACTTCCTGGTTGAGAAATTGAATTCATTCAGATCCATCATGTTTTATAGTGTGGTGGAATATTTTTCTTGATTTTTGTAGTCTTCTCATATTGCTAAAATTCAAGCTTCTTTCAAAGCATGAGCTTGCTGTTTCTGAAGGGAAACAATGATTGTTATTTTATTTCATATCGACCAGTTTTCGAAAATGACATTGCTCTTATTACAGGAGTTGGCAGAAGAGGCCAGCATTGGAGCATCATTTAATGACACTAAATTTCTATCAAGAAATGGGCAACCGAAGGAACTATTTCTGTCAAGTGATGCCAATGCTCTGGTAGAACACACAAAAAAGGTCCTCGTGATTGAGGATGGCGAAGTTGTTCATCTCAAGGTACCTTCTATCATCTCCATTTAATGGTTCAAAATATGTTCTTGAATTATAAACAGACTTCAAGCAGATATTAAGCCACTGTTTGGTAGAGATTATTTAAAACTCATTTTTCCTCAAACTCATTTTAAACCACACATTTTCCCAATAAAATAATTTTACACTTGGATCCATAGCTTTACCGTACTTTTTAACCATGCGTTCTCGAAAAAATCACTTTTCACAAAATCTATTCTCAAGGAACTAACGGGCTCTAAGTGTCACATGGTAGTGAGTTTGTTTCTAATTACTTTGGAGGTCTAAGAACTACTTTCATGTTCCACAAGGCTACTCTCATTTGGCAATTCACTTTTTCTTTTCTTCCTGTCTCTTTTTGTGAAAAGGCCTAAGGAGAACTTCCAGCATATAGTCCCCTTATTTTCTTCACTTTTTTGTGAGACCATTGATGATACAAGATTTATCAAATTACTGCCCAAATTTCATGACCAATCTGCTTCACAATCTTGTCCTGATTACTTTGCATAATTTATAATTTTCCATTATCTTCCATTTGGGGCCAAAATACTACATAGTGTTAAAGAAGGTTGTCTTCTTACTATTTGCTATCTTTATTCAAATAAATGAGATCTTCTGAAGTGTTTTGGACCCCTTCTTTTGTTATTTTAATGGAGTCGTATGTTTATAAATATTCTCTTCAAGGTGTGAAATTATGATGAGAAGTTCCAACTTCATGTGAATTTACTGGCAAGGGTTAGTGGGTTTCATATGCTTCGATGTTGTACTCTTTGTTCTTTCCATATCAGAAAACTACACCTCTTATACTCTTCCATTTCTAGATTTATGCCAGTTATATTCCTAAACCATGGAAGGGAGATTCCAAAAATTAGAGAAATAGAAATCATAGGAAATGGAAACTTTAAGCAGATAAAGAAATGAAAAGAAGGGAATTGTTGCTGAGTCAGAATTCCATGACTCCTTTTTCAACAAAAAAGTCTCCTCAGTTACCCAAAAAAAAGAAAAGAAAAGTCAAACAAGGATGTTTTTCCATTATTTGAGATCTGTCAGGGAAATCAATTCTTCCCTCAAGCATTACGAAAGGATAAAAAGATTCTTTAAGCCTTTAAAGCTCTTTCACCAAATTGACCAAGCAATGCATCTCTCTTGTACATCTGCATAAAGTCTTGACATCTCTACTCTGCTAAAGCCCATAAATTTTATAATATAAAGCTCAATCAAGGAGGTGGGATGTCCAAAAACTACTAATCTCCTCCTTGACTCCCTGGTAAAAGAGCTGTGAGGTAAGTGTCTCAGTCATGCACCAACACATGACAGAAACATCAGGGGATAAGTGTTTGTATGCTCTTGCAACCAAGCATTTGTGTTTATCAATGAAGGAAATAAAAGCCTTTGTCGTAGAAGCTCCAAATGAACGTGTTCAAAGGTGAAGAAATGGACACTTTGGGCAAAAAGATAACATGCATGACATGCAGAACTATCTATATTCCAAAATTGTACAATCAGGAGGTTGGACAATATAATCTCATTTAGATATCTAATCGTAAGTAGTAAAAATTCCAAGAAACAGACTCACCATCTAAAACTCTCCAGGAGTTCCTCCAGAAACAAAGGATAGAACTGTTGCTACTTTAAATGGTAGGTGAAAAGGATATTTTTGAGAATAAACAAGGGTTTATATAAGTTTCGCAGGTCATGGTCTCATCATTGCGTCCATTTAGTTGGAGGCCATATTTCGTCCTGGTTTCCTTTTGGCTAAGTAGTAGGTTCCAGGGGAAAATGCTATGAGCAGTTGGCCACCATCAAATATTCTTAGATACCTTACTGAGTTTAAAACCACATTCACTCTAACCTTGGCAATGGTTTCTCCATTTATCAAGTTACTTTTCCATTCCTCTTATGTACCTTCCCATGAAAGAAAACAAGCATACAAAGGAATGCAGCTAACATCAAAGACCTCACTTCCTCAAGAGTATCTATTTCTAGCTAAATTACCGTCCCTTAAATCATATATAGTCAATTTGATTCAGTTTTGCACTAATGAGGTTTATCAACTTTACTAAACACCTCATTCAAAGTGAATAACTGGTTAAAATTATTCATTTTAATCAGATCAGGAGCCTGTTTGAGCCCTTTTATTTTTGTCCAAAATGCATATTGGAATATTATTTTGATGGAAAATGTGGTTAAAAAATAAGGAAAATTGTTGGGTTTGCGTATAATACTACTTTATTGAAAAATGTGGGGATAGAAATAAGAGAGAGAAAAATGTAATGGAGACCAAACAATGGCCAAGTCATATTCTAACTAAATTGACTAATTTCTTTTATATAGATGATTGTAAAAAATATTTATGAAGCAACTTCATATCAAAGAGGTATTAAGTTATTGCAAACTATGTTTATTATAATAAATAAAGAGATTGAAAATAAAATAAATTTTTTGACAAAAGCATTCTGGATCACTATAATATAAAACTGAGATAAATATCTTTATCTTCCTTGTAAATTTCTATTAACTGAAGACTGAACACAACAATCCTGCAGATGCATTTGATGGCACTCTGTATGGTACTTTCAGTGATTTCCATTCTAGTTTGTTAGAACTTATCAGATGTCCTATGCATGTATGTGGACATATGAATATATGCATGTTTCTTGTGGTCTGCTGGACACGGTGTCACTGCTGTTGATTTTGATTGGTCCAGGATGGAGGCGTGTCCATTTTGAAGTTTGACCAAGCTAAGGGTAACCGTGGAAGAACTCTTTCTAGGCCTGCTTCTGTTGAACGTGCATTATCTATTCTCGAGATGGAAGTTGAACAAATAAACAAAGGAAAATATGAGCATTATATGCAGAAAGAAATACATGAACAACCTGAATCTCTTACAACAACAATGCGAGGGAGGCTTATACGTGGAGGATCTTGTAAAGCCAAGTCCGTCCTTTTGGGAGGGCTCAAGGATCACCTCAAAACCATAAGAAGAAGCAGAAGAATTGTTTTTATTGGCTGTGGCACAAGTTATAATGCTGCTTTAGCTTCAAGGCCCATTTTGGAAGAACTATCTGGTGAGTGTTGTTGGCAATATGTAGCATGGCTGTGAAATTTCATACACTGATGTTTCACTAATTTAACAATACAATTCAGGTATTCCTGTGACAATGGAGATTGCTAGTGATCTGCTGGATAGGCAGGGACCCATTTACAGAGAAGATACTGCTGTCTTTGTTAGTCAATCTGGTGAAACTGCTGATACTTTAAATGCATTAGAGTATGCCTTAGAAAATGGTGCACTGTGTGTGGGTATCACAAACACTGTTGGCAGTGCAATTGCTAGGAACACCCACTGTGGTGTTCATATAAATGCAGGCGCTGAAATAGGTGTGGCAAGCACCAAGGTGAGCACATTGTACATTACCACCTGCCCACTCTCTTTATAAGTGGCTCTTCCATGGCTTCAGTCCTTTTAGGTAGTTAAATTCATTGATTTAGGTAATTAAATTCATTGACAGGCATACACAAGTCAAATTGTAGTGATGGCTATGTTAGCCCTTGCAATTGGAGGCGACTCAATTACTAGTGAAGAAAGAAGGGAAGCAGTAATAGATGGTCTATTTGACTTGCCAAGTATGTCTTATTTTGGTTGCTGCTTCTACAAATTACAATGGAGTTGTTTTTGTGCATACATGTTTGCCATGGCTTTGGTGTCTTTTGTCTGTTATATTATTAAAAATGTTGCAGGTAAAGTGAAAGAAGTTCTCAAGCTTGACCAGGAAATGAAAGATCTTGCAAAATTACTTATGGCTGAGCAATCACTTCTTGTTTTCGGAAGAGGATATAACTATGCAACAGCTTTGGAAGGTGCTTTGAAGGTAAAAGAAGTGGCACTTATGCACAGTGAAGGAATACTTGCTGGTGAAATGAAACATGGTCCATTGGCTTTAGTGGATGAAACTCTCCCAATTTTCGTTATTGCTACCCGTGATGCTTGTTTCTCGTAAGTCTTTTTCTATGTAAAACTTGGTCTCGTGATCTTTAATGTCATTTTCTAACATTTCTAGTTGTGGACAGAAAACAGCAATCAGTCATTCAGCAACTTCATGCTCGGAAAGGTCGACTTATAGTAATGTGCACGAAAGGAGATGCAGCATCTGTTTCCGTTGGTGGATCCTGCCGTGTCATTGAAGTTCCTCAGGCCGCGGATTGTCTGCAGCCTGTAGTTAATATAGTTCCATTGCAGGTAATGTTGCTACTTCTTTTAATACAAATACTTCCATACTGTAAACCATGGTTCAATACAAATACTTCAAAACTCATCATAATATGCACCTTCAGGTTACTTTCTTTCTAGAATGCCTGAAATATATTAATTCAAGAATAATAAGACTAATAGGTGAACTTGAATTGTATGTTCGTCATGTTGACTGTTGTACAATTGTATAAAAAGATGGTGGGGTTGAATTTAGGTCACAAATATGCAGTTTGTGTTTGAGACAGTGTGGGAGCTATAGCATGAGATGATTGATATTTGTTCTCTAAGATAAAATGGTGTCCTCAGGTCATATATCAAATTGAGATTATTATATGTTCATTAAGAATAAATATTGAGTTTCACAGTGATTGCAGACAACTTTTAAAAATCTCTCTTGGTCTCTCTTGGTAAAAGAAAATGGTAAGGCTGTAGTATTAGATTCGTAGTTATGAGATTGAAGTTCAATTCCATATATTTAAGGCACCAATTCAAGGCTTCATGGCTACTCAGTGTAAGCAACAAATTCTGAATTTGTTCCTTTTTTCTGGAGCATGATGAGTTTGTTATGTCCCTTATGAGTGGATTGTATGATTTTGATCCATTTTGCATTTGATCTTCAAATTATTACAAATCTGTTTGGCATATGATCTGGTTACAGTTCAACCGAACTTTTCTCAGTGATCATTGTTGAATTTTGCTTTATTTGAGCATTTCTGCTTTAGTAAATTCTTAGATGCTCATGTAGTCATGTTATTTGCCAGGAAGGTAAAGGGAAAGTATGTTTGATATACGAGAAAAATACAGTTTGATAATGAAATTTCCTTCACAAGTATACTGCTAACTAATCTTACTTTCCTTACAAATCTCTGCAGCTATTGGCTTATCATCTTACGGTACTAAGGGGACACAATGTTGATCAACCGCGGAATCTTGCAAAGAGCGTGACTACTCAATAAGGAATGCAATATATTACTTTATCATGCTTTCTCGGATTTAGAAATTCAACAGAAGCTGCAAAAATTCCATCCGACTCCGAACCATTAATCTGCCATGTTTTCCTATGCTAATTCTCGGGACCTTTTACAAAAATTAGTTTAAGATTTGGTGTTTGATTTGATACGAAAATGGCTTTATTCCCTGATCTGGTTGATTCCTTTTTCACCCTGTTTCATCCAGATGATCGGTGTTTGTACCGCATTATATTTCAGCTGCTTGCTTTGTGTAATATATCTTCTCTTTGGAGTTGTCATGGAATTTTAGATTTTTGCTCTTTGGTTTCTTTTTCCTTATTTTCTCTAAAAGATGTTACATTTCCAGTGCTGTATCAAGTACGAGCAGTGCTTAATGTTCGATTGTGTTTAAAAGCAGCTTTTTTGAGTTAGTCTTGACAGTAAATATATAGTAGTAACAATATATTCGGTTATTTTAGTTACTTTTAAGCACATCAAAACTCAAAGGAAAATGATGTTTAAGATTAATCCCGTTTGGTGCAAAGGGGGGAAGCTTTTTTCACAATAATTGTTACTATTGTAATAGTCGGGCTATCTAAATCAATATCATACAAATCGGGATTGAAGGAGTAAAAATGTTAATTATCACTATCGAAGTCCTTCAGTTATAACACTATCAGGCAAAGTTGTTTTAACATATGGTTGAATGATTTCTGTTGTTTATGTTTAACAAGCACCTAATTGCCTCTATTAGGAATGGAGCCGTGCTCTAATGCCAACTGATGCAACAAAATCTTGTAGAAGGTCGTTAACACTCCAAATACTCGTTGATTCAATTGAAATCAAGGATTTGACCCTCAAATATTCATTAATAAACAACCAAGTCACAATTAACCATAATATTAGCATTTAAAGAAAAATAAGAAACCTTAACTTACTATTCTAAACAAAGACAAACTCTAGAATGTAAAAATCTAAACAATGAAATAAATAAATAAAAATCAATTTTCGTCTGAATGATAAAAGTTCCAACTTTGACACCTTAAATGATGGGCTTGAGGGATTTCTCTCACGAGTTCAGCTCTGTGGCTCGCTTTACTATCCAGAAAAGCAACATTAGTAATCCAATTCTTACATGATTGATTGAATTAACATACCCAATTTGCATCATAATCCATGGTTTGAAACCAAATCAACCAACAAATATAGTTTATTTAAAAAATTTCTAAACCGTTCAAATTAGTTAGGTGAAAATTACTCAAAAACCACCCATATCGAATCAAGCTAATTGTAGGGTCAAATCCGAACCATTCAAATTGAAGTGATACTGTCAGATTGGTACAAGAAAACCTAGAAATTGTATGTGCATCCAAATAGAAGAAAATACAATTCAAAATAGCCGGTGTTCTATAAAATATCAAAATATAAATACAGTACTGGATTTATACTGGGCTTCTAGCCGGTGTTCTTTGTTTGTTCACACTGCACGCAATGTAACGTCATTGTATCTAGGAGACTTGAAACTAAAAATTTTGCCTTTCCTAGCATGCTAAATGACCAAGTGACAACTAGCCCCAAGAAGTCAATGGAATTTTGTTCAAGTTGCAGATCAAATCCAGAATAGAACCCAAAAGACACGAACACTACAAAGAAGGATGTCACCAACAGTTTTCACATAAAAAACATTTCTTGGAAAATATACAATAGTCAATGTAGATATTTCATTGACAAAACCTCAGACAGGCATATAGAATCCCCCAATACATTACATATGCATGTTGATACCACTCATTGCATTGACGGACAATAATCTTCTCTCATTCAGCACACAATTTTCCTCGTATAGTAACACTACCAACAATTTCTTTCGGACAAGCAAACAAGATGATGACAAAACAAAAATTAAAACATGAATTTTACCGTGAACTTCACTCTGCTTTGGCTTCTGGCACTCCAGTCCCCTCTTCTGTTTTCGAATCCCCAGAACAACACCCACCTCCATGATGGTGATGGTGGTGATGACGCTTCTTACCTTTGAGTTGCTTTCTCATATCATAAGCATCCTCCCCATCTGCATAATACTTTGCCTCCACATCATGAATCTTGTACCCTAGTGTTTCAGTATACAAATTAAATGCAGCCCGATTGCTTTTCCTCACATGAAGTGACACATACTCTGCCTCATATACCTATTCAAGAATAAAAATGAGAATATTTTAGCTTAGAAAGAGGATCAAAATCAATGTTATCTTAGCCTATGTTT